TGGTCCAGTTTTGCACCTACATACTTAACAAAAGATGTGTACTTTATAGCAGTACCATTACATGTGACCTGGAAGCTAGGCCCAGTTTAAGTTGAAACTTAAACCAAAAATAAAAGACTCTGTCTTGCCAAGATACAAAGACAATTTATAGTCAATTAACCAATCTTATAACTTAAGAATCATGCTATAAGAAAGAATTTCTTCAGATGTATTTTACCAGATACAAAGATACCTGAATCATCAGCATATACTCACAGGCACGAGTATCGGATCTGGGAAGAAAAAATATGACCAGATTGATAAAAAAATTGTGTTCATCTTAAAAGTGTCCAAAAAAAATGTAAATAATGACCCCCTTTTAAAATATACTATTAACTTAAAGTATATTTTTAAAGGGGGTTATTATTTACATTTTTTATTGGTTTTTGACACTTTTAAGATGAACACAGGTTTTTATTTTTATCAATCTGGTTCTTTCACAGGTCTGATACTTGTGCCTGTTCAGTATTAATAAAGTTATTGCTAAGGTATACAGGCATGTCAATTGACATTATATATATTACATAAAGGGGACCTAAAATGAACATCCAGGACCACCGTAGGTACTCAGGAGCAGTAGTATAGAATGATTACCAACCACATCCACCCAGCTGCTGTCTTCAGAAGATGACTTAACCATGTCAAAGAATGTCATTTAATATGATCATCTATGCTTGAAGTTCTATGCAGAAGAAGAAAGGAACTTTCTTTCATGTGCAGCTATTATACTGTGATCAACTGCATTCAAATGCCCTTTGTGATTGTAGAATCTAAAGTATCTGCATACTGCTTTTGTCTCATTTCATTAATTTTAAATTACAATCTGTTTTAATGAATCAAACATGTATGTCAGTTAAAATACCACTTCTAAACCCTGACTGAAAATGCCTGACCATGACTTGAACCCATGTAATTAGTATAAAAGTAAAAAAAAACTCTCAAATAGTCTATATCATATAATAAAAATTGAATTGTATGAGTGTCTAAACTTTAAGTGCATATCTCTTACAGTAACAAATACTGTCCCTCTTTTAACCTTACATTCGACTTTACAATAATTATAACTAACTGCATTTAAAATGAGCACCTATATGTATAGCTTTAATATACTACCTTTCATTTTTACCAAAGGTTATTTTATTAACAATTTATATACAAACGCATAGAAAATAATAATTAGTTTCACATATTGATTAGAAGATTCCTCTAGCAGAATACCTGTAGGATATGTACTAACTGAACAAACTAGAAAAATCCTGGTCTACCGTCTAAGGTATATAAAGCCAGTAAAAAAAATTTTTTTATCAATATTCACTCATCAGGGTCTCTATGCTTTTGATGACCTTACAACTGGTAAATTGTATACAACAAAAATAGTAAGTAATACCTAAGATAGACAGAAAAGAACAAATAATTTAGTAAACATGAGTTACTTCCCCTTAAAATAGAGAAAACCTGAAACCCAAAAGAACACCATAAACAGCAAATTATGAAATGGTGCAGGCTCAGTTTTATTAAGCCATGCAAATTAATGGTAATGTATTCATAAAAAAAATAGATGGCCATGTGACAGCAGTAATTGCAGAAAATCGGATAGCTTTCAACATCCGGATACTGGTACACTTTGTAAAAACAATCATTCTGTGCAATAGATAAACGTAATGTGGATAAAATCAATAGGGCAATCGTTTACAACAGTTCATTACCTATCATAATAATCATTTGCACTGTCTTCTTGTAGGAAAATTTTGAAAATATATAAATAAATGGATACGGCATCAAGGTAGACCACAACGATTTTCGAAATCCGGGTTTTAGTATCGTCAAAAAATCTTAGGGACAAGCTGTTAAACTGAGCCTGCAGTTTCGTGAAAATAATATCACATGAACATGCTTTTTACATAAAGTTATTAAATATAAATAAAACAACATATTTGTTTACTTGATTTTTACGAATCAAAATAAAACTAATTAACACAACATGACATTAACTGCTAATAATAACAGCTCCTTCCATAGGCCAAAATAAAAAGCATTCCATAAGAGACGACGCCGCTCACCGGCGTCGCCAATAATGCTAACATCATCTACAATATAAAACCGCATATTATTACAAAACATTATGTTATACATACCGCCAGATAATCAAACCATTCTAGCATTCACTGAAATAATTTATATCGTTCATCTTAAACGTTACTACTATAAATATCTTTAGTGGACTTGTCCATCGTGCAATCATTAGAAAACAATGAATTATTTTTATTTATTAAGTGTCTGAATATTAATCAGTCACAAGTTCGTATTGTCAAACAGTACAAAAAAAAAACAAAAAAAAACAAACAGAATATATTGAAAAGATAATAACAAACGCGGGACAATACGCCCTAATGTAAATTCGTTTCAGCAATAAAAAATTATCTTTTAATTAAAATAGAGACCCAATACAACTTTGCCTAAAAAATATCATTTACCTTTAAGTTAATTATCCTTATGATACTATATGACATCTAAGTTGGAGGCATGTTACCCTTAGTGCATGATTCATTAATCTTGTACATGTTGTATGGAGGTCTGATCGGTGATTATATTTTCTAAATATAAAGGTCATGTTTATATCCCGAAAACGATGTTTTTTCCTGTATCTTTGGTCCTGAGGGCCATTATAAATATAACCTTTTTGTAGAAATCTACAAATTGATGCAGCATGCCAAATATATCAGCTCTGAGCTTTGAAGTTTCACAAAATTAATTTAATGTAATTTTCTATATACGTCTACATCAATCAAGTGATCCCGGGGCGTGTCAATATTGACCACAGAGGTATGATTTATACTTTTTTGCAGAAGTTTTAAAGTTAATGTTTCATGTTAAATATCTTAGCTCTTGGCATTATAGTATCATACAATTAGACTGAAATGTGCTTTTTTCATACAAGACTAGTATATCAATTAAAAGACACAAATTCGAGTGTTGAATATTCAAGGGGCATGTTTAAGGACTTGTTTTGTAGAGGCAACCAATGCAATGCTACATATCAAAAAACTGATCTGTAGACATTGTAGTTTCCCAAAAATTAGACCTAATTGAGTTTCGTACCAAAAACTGTATTAAATGATTGACGCCGGGGCGGGGCCAATATCAATCCAAAAGGCATAATTTATACAGTATTTTGCAGTTCACAAAGTGATATGTGAAACTACATTCTAAATATTTAAGCTCTAGGCTTGTAGTTGCACAAAAGAAGTTTCAGATGTCTTCTTTATGCATTATATAATCTATATATCTATAAAGATCAAGTGACCCAAGGAATGTAGCCAATTTTGAACCAAGATGCATTATTCTTATATGTTTGGTTAACTTATAGGTCAAAAGGCAATGCCCAAAACGAAACTTTATCTTTTCTATATCAGTCTACAAAAATCAAGTAATCCCGTGGATCACAGGAAGCACAAACCTGTGTTCTTCACACTGTCTTATTATAATTGATATTTCTGCGAATTAGTATTACCTTCTTTTTATCGGTTCAAAAGATACATAGCAGACATGAAATTTTTAAGTGTGGCCTTGAATGTAGGTAGGACATACCTGCGCTCTGCATATTGTCTTATTATGGTGTACATTTCTATCAAATAGTTTCAATTTCCCTTCGTCGTTTCAAATGATACAGACCGGACACGAAATTTGCTAACAGAAGGACGGACGACCAGGTGCATAACATTATACGCCGAAATCTTTTCGTGCGTAGAGTTTTAAAATTTCTTGGTTAATTATGTCCCCGATTATCTGGTTATGTATCTGAAAAGTTAACACAAGAGCGATCAGTGATCACATGTGTCGCCTCATAATGGCCAATTTCATGTTGGGACAAGTTTTGTGAAAGACGGACAGACAGACAGACAGTGTACAAATAGATTTGTTACTGATCATTCTTGTAAAGTTTGGCACCAGTAGTTTATGAGGAGAAGTGGGGACAAGCTTTTGTGTATCTGGCAACACACAGAAAAAAACACATTTTTATCAAAGGGCCATAACTCGGCCAAAAATCATTCAACCGGAAAACCCGTGCAATATGTGCAAGGACTTGAGCTACAGATCAATCCTGTAAAATGTCATTGAAATTGCATTAGTGGTATAAGAGCAGTAGTCCGGACAAACTTCAAAATTAAAAATTATTCAAGGGCCATAACTCTGACAAAAATCATTAAACCGGGAAATTCTGACAATTTGCACAACTAAACTTGGTACTGATCATTCCTGTAAAGTTTGGATGAAATTGCACCAGTAGTTCATGAGGAGTAGTCCAGACAAGCTTTTGTGTATCTGGCAACACACAGAAAAAAACACCTTTTTAATCAAAGGGCCATAACTCGGCCAAAAATCATTCAACCGGAAAACCCGTGCAATATGCGCAAGGACTTGAGCTACAGATCAATCCTGTAAAGTTTCATTGAAATTGCATAAGTGGTATAAGAGAAGTAGTCCGGACAAACTTTAAAAATAAAAATTATTAAAGGGCCATAACTCTGACAAAAATCATTGAACCGGAAAATGCTGACAATATGCACAACTAGACTTTGTACTGATCATTCCTGTAAAGTTTGGATGAAATTGCACCAGTAGTTTATGAAGAATAGTCCGGACAAGTTTTGTGACGGACAGACGGACAGACAGACGTACAGACAGACGACAGAGAAGTGATCCCTATATGTCGCCACTACTCCGTAGAGGCGACACAAAAAAGAGGAGAAAAATAAAAACAAAACAAACATCAAATCGTGGCAGGTAAAAAATATGAAAAATAGAAACAATCATAAAAATTTAAAAACCTTTTAGCAATAATTCTACACTACACATTACGCCAATAAAATTAGGAAAATTTGTATAAAGGTTACAAAGCAAAATATAATACTATTAAATCGTTTCAATCCTTCCGTTCAAAATCATACTTTCATAAAAAACAATTACACACTCAAGGGTACAAAATATATTAGGAAAATGATACTTGTTTACCAAAACATACCGTCTGACTAATGTTCAGATCATCTTTAAATTTACATGTAGATCTGATGGTGGCTGATAAGAGATAAACTTCTTGCGACTTTTAATCAACCAATTAGTGCCAGGTTTTTGGTTCATGAAAGTGTAAAAAAGTTTTGTTTTAACCGTTGGGAGAGCAAAAATGTGTACGCAATTTTCAAGATATAAAAGGTGAACAAAAATATCGACTCCCGCGCCTTTAAGAATAAAGGCTTTAAAATTAAAAATAATATAATCTAATGATTCGCAGAAATTATTTTTCACATACCTACTTGAAGATATTTTATAAGTTGTCTGACTTCCCGGATAACGTAAAATAATTATCTGTAATGAGTGCTAAAATAGCCTTAGCTGAAAATATAAATCGGATGAGAAAGCAGCGAAAAGAGTTACTTGCGATTGACATAAACAAATCTGAACTTTAGTCAGACCTCCATTACTATATCTAAGATAATCTGATCCATGAAACATCTTAACTATAATTAGTTTATCAAAACATGTTTTTTTTTACTTATCTAATCAAAAGACAATGTGGATGCAATTATTTGTAATTTCTTGTCGTACATACATCTGTTTTTGTCTGTTTTTGTTGTTGTTTGCTTTCCAGGAAAATCAACTCTGTTGTATTATTTTATAAAAGATAAGAACACAAGGTAATCTAAAGTTGCGGTTGTGTATAATATACTTATGTTTAGCTATGTTTTCATAAATTTCTCTCTTCGATGCTGCATTTTCGTCTATCGTGTTTCAATATTTTTTAAAACGTTTGATCTGTTGGTGTATGCTACAACAACAACGCTTGATTGCTTAGACTACATATTATATAATATTTATACTATGAAAACTGAGGCGTTTACAGAGTTGTTCCTTTGTATGAAAAGTATATGCTTTTCGGTTTAGTTTTGATTTGTTCGATTTATAATTAATCTCTCTAATGTATCAAATCTGTTATCGAAATATCGTTTGAAACTATCCCTCGTGTCCCTTAGCTCACTTTTTACTGTGTCCAGAGAGTGTTCTACATTATCAGTTAACATTGATGCCGTATTGCATGTTTGATTCCAAAGAACGGGGTGTCGTTCAAACGGAAGCTGTACAACGTTGAATTGCAATCTGTCCGTAGACTGACATATTTCATTTCTATGATACGACAAGCGATTGCCAACAAAATTGATTGCGTCTTCAATTGGTGTAACCATGAAGTTATGTTGATCCAGTTGTCCTTCAAATATCCCAACTGCGCGACACTCGCCATTGTCAACAGCAAACACAAGAGACCCTGAATCTCCCTGTTCACCAAACGGTTTTGAAGAATCAAGACTTACTATTTTAATTTGGTTGTTGAGAGTAACGCTTACCGCATTTCCCCTCGCAGTTGTTCTAACAGCTGTGCAGTCATCAACATATCGCCCTTCTGTTAAACCACTGATACATCCGAACTTGAACACACGAGATGTAGGCATGAGTTTTTCCCGCTTCAGAATTTCACCGGAAGAGAAATGGAAACCTGATCCTTTGTGATATAAAAACACATATTTAAAGACTTTAACAAGTAATAATTTGACATTTGATCATTTATTTTGACAAGTTTAACATTGTGTGCTCAATAAGCTTTCAAGTGGATCAGAGTTTAACTCTTTGTCAAGAGCTAACAAATTGTCCACTGACCTTGACTTAGGCATGTATAACTCCTAATTACGTGAAACATGTAACGTTATGTAAAAAGCCCAAACGGATAGTAAAAAGTAGATTTAGTCCCATTCTACAAAACAAAATGAAGAAAAATACATATTGTGAAGACCTTTTCATATGCCCAAAAATGTTCGGGCATATTATGTTATACCCCCTGGCATCCGTCCGTCTGTCTGTCCGTCCGTCCCTTAGCAATTTGTTTTCCGGAGCATAACTTATTAATCAGTTCTTTTTGGCCCACAATATTCAAACTTCATAGGATGGTTGTCCATATTGGGTAACCCTAACCCTTACCCTATTGATTTTGGGGTCACAAGGTCAAAGGTCAACGTCACATTTACCTTAAAACTGAAAACAGTCTCCGGAGCATAATTTAAGTTCAATTTGTCCAAAAATATTCAAACTTCATAGGATGATTGTCCATATTGGGTAAAAGATCCATAATATTTGGGTCACAATGTCAAAGGTCAAGGTCACTTTAACCTTAAAACTGAAAACAGTTTCTGAAGCATAATTTAGGATCCATTTGGCCCACAATGTTCAAACTTCATAGGATGATTGTCCATATTGGGTAGAAGACCATATTATTTTTAGGATCCTAAGGTCAAAGGTTAAGGTCACTACTACCCTAAAACTGAAAACAGTTTCTGCTCTGTTACTTAAGTATAAATCAACCTACAGCTGTAATTTTAAGAAGATGAACAGCAAAGTCAGTCGAAAACATGACCCCTATTGATTTTAGGGTCACAGGGTCAAAGGTCAGGGTCACAATGATCTTTACACTGAAAATTGTGGTTTCTGGAGAATAATTTAAGTTCCATTTGGCTTACAATGTTCAATTTTCATAGGATTATTGACTATATTGAATAAACGATCCATATCTATATTGGGGTTACAAGGCAAAGGTCAATATCAAATGACCTAAATATTGTGAACAGTTTTACAACTGTCAAACTTCATAAGATGATCACTTATATTGAGTACATTAATTATATGGCATAACAATTTGCTTATATCATGTTATACCCTTGGGGTCTTTCGTCCATCCGTCAGAGCATTTTTATTTACAAGATAACAACTTGATGGTGGTGCTTTGGAAACAGCAACTGCATATATATGAAGGTTCTGCAGTGCGTTTTGAAGGAGGATATAGTTTATTTAATTTCCATGTCTTACAAATGCTTCACCCTTACTAAAAAACCAAAACACTTTCGGGCATATAATACTCAGCCTAGCGGGGCTGTTGTTTATCTTGAAAATCTTATATATATTGTTTTAAATTGCTTTGAATAATAATATTGTATATCACGTTGACAGAAACCGGTAACAAGCTTAAATGAACTGTGGTGCGGAACGTTTTGCTTTTAATCTATTTTATTGCAATATTGTTTTGTCAAACATACCATAACCTTAGTTTATTTAGTGTATTTGTTTATTAAAATCATTGTGATACTCTGCAAAAGAACGATCTTTCCGTCAGTTCTTTCTAACTTGAGGTATGAATTGAATTTTATAAGCTACATTTTACTTGAAAATCTTAATATCTCACCAGGAAAACTGCCATCATTCGGTAATCGATCTTCGTTAACTTGCACTAATGCAAGCTCCATTCCAGCTTCGTCTTCGTTACCCTCCTTATAGACGGCCAGTACTATCTTGCCAAGAGGGTATCGCGAGTTTGTATTGCTGACTGTTTTAGATTCCGGTGGTTGAAATATGTTGTGGCCGGTTTTTCCGTAGTATATGTAATTAACATCGCTTTTCTTTAATCCTTCCATTTGCTTTTTATCTAGTGCAACGTGCGCACTCGTTAAGAAATATGTATCCGAGTAGTTTTCTAATTGAACAAATGGACCCACAGTTCCTTGGTCGGTACCATATCCGCTGTCTATCTCGCATCCCATTTTAACATTTTGATGCAAATCATCTGGTTTTCCACAAAGCGTAAACACCCCTTCTCGTACATCAAAAGGCATGTCCGTTATTGTTCTGTCAAACGGTTCTTCATTGAAGGGAACCAATCCCTTTATCTGAACATACAATGCAATACAGGGAATGTTTTCCATGTGAGCAGCTGTTGTTTGGTACCCGGATGATCTCATGCAACTTGGAGATATTTTTGTTAAGTTGCTGTGCTTTTGCATTAATCGCCTCGCGTTTTTCTTGATGAATGCTTTGATGACTGCCATCTCTGTTGTTAAATAATCACCTGTTTGTTCGTATTTGTATATCGCTTCGTTTTCCAGCTTGCAAGTGTCCGTTATATCATTTTTACATACTTGGTACGTTTCAAATTCCCATTCTCCTTCAATTTTTTTACTTGTATGAATGACAAAAACCACGTCTGTGCGTTCAAGTGGTTGGCCCGTTTTAGTCCTATAAGCTGCCCATACATCATTTATCAAAGGTGATAATCTCCTGATATACATGCAAATGCTGCCTAATAGCTCCCGTTTAACGTTTGGCGAAATAACTTTTTCTTTTTCTTGCATAATTTTGTTCAGAATATCTTTATCAGGGAGAATCCTGTCCCCTAAAAGCTTTATTGCTTTGCTTTCGCTTGCATCCTTCTCTTCAAGATATCTATTCCATCCATATGAGTCTGAGAAAAAAAGGAATAGGATGATAAGCTACGAGTTTCATTTAACAACTTCAGACAAACAGGTGAGTGTTAACCTATGAAATCTATTATAACCACTTAAGTTCGAATCTATAAATAAGACAGGAAATTTACAAATAGGTTAAAGTAAATATACTCAAAGGCAAAACATACTTATTCTCTACAATTTGAGCATTTTGCTTGAGATTTTATTTAATTATTTTGCAAAACGAGTGATGCATGTGATAATGCATACACATGATTACACGCACAATTAAGAGAACATAATTTAATTAAAAAGGCACAGACGGCTATAACATTACTGTCTTTCATAACAAATAAGCTATTTATGGGCAAACGTTTTAAAATCAAAGTATTTCTTAACGTACCTGGTCTTATTATAGAACTTGATAACATAAACTATTGTTTTGAGTTTTCAGGAAATGTTATATATCTTGTTAAGATGCGTCAAAACGTATTTTTATTTTATTGTGGTTATATGAAAATATTACATACTGAAAATTATTTATTTTATTTTTTTTTGTCCTTATATTGTTTGATAGGCGTAAATTGACTGATATTCGTATACGTCTAAAGTGGTTTTCATTCAATGCCATTATGAACGTGTATTTAACCTAGTTTTTGTTTTCAATTTTCTGGACATCCGATAATTTAATTTTTTGACTGCTAACTGCTCATTTCCACTTATTGATTGAAAAACTAAATTGTTTTTCCCTAGAAAAATAAACTACAAAATCATCGTTTTTAATCATTATTTCGACAAGCCGTAAAATATGACAATAATTAATGACTGTTATTTAACTTTAATTAAATTTTGCCGTAAATTTACCTACTTTACATCACAGAAACTAATAAAGTCAAAGTATATGTTGATGGAAAACAAGAATTGCAAAATTATATAGACACAAGAAAATTACCAATTTATATAGAAATTATTATAAGTGTTTATATAAAATGTCCATCAAAGAGGAAAGAGAAAACACTATCTGTCATATTTCTAGATAAAAATAAGCATCTAAAATCCTATATACCAAAAACTACATTTAAAAAAGTAACAAAATGGCAATGTTTTTCGGAAATAATGTATTTTTATGAATATATCCGGGAATGTTTTCCGTTCTCAGATAAAAAGTACATAGATACTGTTATATGATCTAAAAAAGCTGCATTTTCATTGCTTCAAACAGTAGTCATCAGAACAAATAATAACAAGAATGTCGAACGACACATATACCCCCCTTTCTAGCCATTGACTCACATAATTGGTAATTTTATTACAGAAACTTGCCAAAAATGGGTACATTGAAGTGTTCAATTATGGAAAAATCAACGAAAGCCATTTTGACATTAAAGACCCTGTGACCTTGACCTTTGACCTAGTGACCCCAAAATCAATAGGGGTCATCTACTAGTTATAACCAATCACTATGTGAAATATGAAGACTTTGTGATACACACTTTTCAAGATAATCAGCGGAAACCATTTTGACATTTAAGGTAGACCATGGTTAATGCATTACCTCCACTTTGAAGAGTATTCAAATAGGCTACAATCGCTTGTAAACTACATTGAAATTGAGGGGCGTGGGTTCAAACCCCAGAAGGGGCAACTTTTTTTTTCTTTCTTTTTTCCTTTTTAACATTATTTATGTATCTCTCTGATCCCTTATGGAAGAAAAAAAGTTTGATTTAAATTATGTAATTACTTTAGGTAATTTTTTTGCTAAATAATGCCAAAATTTATAGCAAATATGATACCAGATATTTTCAAAGTTCGATAAAATAAAAACTACACGGTAAAAGTATTTTATATTTCGCATGATCAACTAATATACCTTCGAGAAAATTTAGGCAACTTTGAAAACAGACCCTTATTTCGATAAATTTCAGGGATATTTTGAATAAGACATTTTAGATAGGAAAATAGTAAAATTAGTGTTTTAAGTGGGTAGGGTAGGGTAACATTTTTATACATATTAAGAACATTTTGTTTAGAAACAAACATTTTGCTTGTGTAATGTGTTACCTGAATGTTATTATTTGTTTCTTAACAATGAGCAATAGAAAAACATTTTTATAATGATGATATTACAGATTATTTACAGTTTCCTCATTTCTGAAAATAAGCCCTTCTAATGGCAAAGTCTTAGTTCAGAAATATATCCATAACTCATAAACCACACGGTAAATTTTATTTAAATTTTGCATACAGGTGACCTTGAAGACATATAACTGTCCTATGTTGTCAATTTTACAGTTCCTTATGGTGCCCATTACCCTTGGTCTACCTTAAGGCCCCTGTGACCTTGACCTTTGACCTATTGACCCCAAAATCAATAGGGGTCATTTACAAGTGATGACCAATCACTATGTGAAATATGAAGACTTTGTGATACACACTTTTCAAGATAATCAGCGGAAACCATTTTGACATTTAAGGTAGACCATGGGTAATGCATTACCTCCACTTTGAAGAGTATTCAAATAGACTTGAATCGCTTGTAAACTACATTGAAATTGAGGGGCGTGGGTTCAAACCCCAGAAGGGGCAACTTTTTTTTTCTTTCTTTTTTTCTTTTTAACAGTATTTATGTATCTCTCTGATCCCTTATGGAAGAAAAAAAGTTTGATTTAAATTATATAATTACTTTAGGTAATTTTTTTTGCTAAATAATGCCAAAATTTATAGCAAATATGATACCAGATATTTTCAAAGTTCGATAAAATAAAAACTACACGGTAAAAGTATTTTATATTTCGCATGATCAACTAATGTACCTTCGAGAAAATTTAGGCAAACTTTGAAAACAGACCCTTATTTCGATAAATTTTAGGGATATTTTGAATAAGACATTTTAGATAGGAAAATAGTAAAATTAGTGTTTAAAGTGGGTAGGGTAGGGTAACATTTTTATACATATTAAGAACATTTTGTTTAGAAACAAACATTTTGCTTGTGTAATGTGTTACCTGAATGTTATTATTTGTTTCTTAACAATGAGCAATAGAAAAACATTTTTATAATGATTATATTACAGATTATTTACAGTTTTCTCATTTCTGAAAATAAGCCCTTCTAATGGCAAAGTCTTAGTTCAGAAATATATCCATAACTCATAAACCACACGGTAAATTTTATTTAAATTTTGCATACAGGTGACCTTAAAGACATATAACTGTCCTATGTTGTCAATTTTACAGTTCCTTATGGTGCCCATTACCCTTGGTCTACCTTAAGGTCCCTGTGACCTTGACCTTTGACCTATTGACCCCAAAATCAATAGGGGTCATTTACAAGTGATGACCAATCACTATGTGAAATATGAAGACTTTGTGAAACATACCTTTCAAGATAATCAGCGGAAACCATTTTAACATTTAAGGCCCATGTGACCTTGACCTTTGACCTAGTGACCCCAAAATCAACAGGGGTCATCTACTTGTGATGACCAATCACTATGTGAAATATGAAGACTTTGTGATACATACTTTTCAAGATAATCAGCGGAAACCATTTTGATATTTAAGGCCCCTGTGACCTTGACCTTTGACCTAGTGACACCCAAAATCAAAAGGGGTAATCTACTAGTGATGACCAATCTTTGTGTGAAATATGAAGACTTTGTAATATATACTTTTCAAGATAATCAGCGGTAATTATTTTGACATTTAAGGCCCATGTGACCTTGACCTTTGACCTAGTGATCCCAAAATCAATAGGGGTCATCTACTTGTGATGACCAATCACTATGTGAAATATGAAGACTTTGTGATACATACTTTTCAAGATAATCAGCGGACACCATTTTGATATTTAAGGCCCCTGTGACCTTGACCTTTGACCTAGTGACCCAAAAATCAAAAGGTGTTATCTACTAGTGATGACCATTCTTAGTGTGAAATATGAATACTTTGTGATAAATACTTTTCAAGATAATCAGTTGAAACCATTTTGACATTTTAAGGTCCCTGTGACCTTGACCTCTGACCTAGTGACCCCAAAATCAATAGGGGTCATCTACTTGTGAAGACCAATCACTATGTTAAATATGAAGACATTGTGATATATACTTTTCAAGATAATCAGCGGAAACCATTTTGACATTTAAGGTCCCTGTAACCTTGACCTTTAACCTAGTGACGATCCCAAAATCAATAAGGGTCATACTAGTTAAGACCAATCACTGTGTTAAATATGAAGACTTTGTGATACATACTTTTCAAGATAATCAGCGGAAACCATGTGGTCTACCGACGGACAGACCGACAGACCGACCGACCGACAGACAGAGAGACAGACCGACAGACCGACATTAGCAAAACAATATAACCCCTCTTCTTCGAAGGGGGGCATAAAAATTATATTGTTCAGGTGAAATATCATTTTTAACATTTATTTCTTTATGGCATATTTCTCTATTCAAAAATCTATATGCTCCACAATATTAGGTAAAAATACATCACAATGAAAAGTATATTGTTTACTTGTCTTTAAGTTTAGGCTATACGTTTTGTGTGGCTTTTTGTAAATCTTAGGCTAATCATGTAATAAAACAATAATTGACTAATGGCTCATTGAAAATGATGTCATATTCACGACTTCGCCTCGGTCAATATGTCATATATCGGTGAATATCACATCATATTCAATGGCTCACTAGTCAATAATTGTATACTTTTATAGATACTAGAAATATTATATTTAATTTTAAATGAAAAAATCCTTAACTTATAACGTATTGTTATTTCATTATTGACCTGTTACAGGCTGTAAAAAAGAACAGGTTTACCAATTCTCCATCTGGTCAATGGCCTCATTTCATCGTGAAAAGTATGCAAAGATTGTATTGATTGATCTGCAGCTTGTATTTCTTTATACGTATCCTCTGTATACTTTGTTTCTGTGTATATAAATACCACTTCATAACAATAATGATGTTTCCAATATTAAGTGTATAAGAAATTTTGTAAGAAACATATAATTGTCATTTGTTACAAAACATATATGGTAAATAAATATATATTTTTTATGTGAGTGAATGAAAAATACTGCAAGTGCCTGTGAATACATTAAAATATATTTTGTTTTCAAATTTCACTAGTTGTTAACTTCTTTAATGTTATATGACAGTTTTTATTCAAACAATATTTCTGGCTTTTGTTTACTTTTACAAGTGCAAATTACCAACCCGTAGCGTCTGTTTTCTTTATCTTTTTATGGTAAACATATTCACCATTCATTTGAGCAACACCTGACCTTCTCTTTCCATTTTTGTTCTGTAAATTGTTCTGCTTCACTTTAAATCAAGAAAAGAAATAAGCTTTTTAGTAACAGTTAGTGAATGAGACACCTTACACAATTTTTAATTTTTAATATATAATATAAACCAACAGTTTTATTGATACTTAACCATTATAATATATGCATTTATAGATAATGTGTATTGTATTTTGTTTAGTCTTACTGTGATGAATAGCATCGAAATAAAGAAAGTAAAAAAAGGAAAAAAATATAAAACAGAAGAATTTTGTGTGTTTCACGGAATGTTCATTGTAAACATACTAAGGGCGCTGTATATTATACAATGTGCGTAGTTAAGCAACATTTTATATTGTATATACTAAGGCAGTGGATTAAAATTACGTCAAAACATTGATACAAATATAAATGGCATTTCAGTTGTTCCTATAGATTTTGCATATATGTTGCAAAAAAAAGAAACACAAGAAATGCATTGATGCAAAGCATCAAAGGGCGTCCAAACAAGAAATGCAGCAAGTGACGATAGCAATCATATCTTCATATAAACTTTGGTAGACGTGCTAGAGATTAGAGTATTAAATATATTTTTTTTGGAACATACAAAACGGAAGTCAAAATGAATTACTTTAGTAACATGCAATTTTTATGCCAATTAAAATATATAGGTTTCTATCAAAACCTGGGTCCAGTAGTACAAAGTACAAATGTTGCTGCAATGCAGCAATTGAAAAGCTCCGCGCAAAACATGCGCACATTACAGATACCTTACCAAATCATTCCTACGCACGGGTCATGTTTAATTCAGATTAGTTTTGTTAATCATTTTGTGGATAATTATATTTATCGTATGCACTATCCATGAGAGAGGAGCAAGATATTAAATTTAAAAAAATATGCCTTCATTGATGTCTACTTGGTAGGGAAAGTATTCCCATTGATTACAAACAAGACATATAAGACTTGTAAATGTAATGTGACATCACAGTAGTGCAACATTGTTCTGTTTGTGTCACTACTTTAGTCAGTAATATTAGATGATAACAGATATAAAAGCATGTACATCTGTTTTTTACCTATAGTGCTACTCATATTCTACAAATATCGACAACTAATCATGGTAAGAAGTATAAAAATTTATTTAGTTTTAGTCTAAACGAAACGGTCATTCGTGTTGCGCTATGATAACAATAACAAACTGGAGAATTTTGCAGGAAAAGAAATGCAAACATATTCAACAATAAATTGCACTCTTTATAAATTTATCAGGCCATTTTTTACGAATTGTTATATCATAGTATTATCATTTTGAAATTGACTGGTCATCTAGCTATTTCGAATTCATGTACAACACTAAAATACATACATAACCCACTGTGTACTACAAAATAATAAGTTATTTCCTGTAGAAGATACACATGTACGAAATAAATCACCAAAGTTTATTTTTTGTTTTGTCTTTTATACTGCTTTTCCAGCGGTTGGGCATGAAATTTATTCCCGTTCTCATTCATTAATATGACATGCTGCGAATCACCGAAGGGGAAACTAATATATGACTTTACATAATATAAATCGGAAGGAGTGATTGATTCCGAAATTATTTTTTGCTGTAAATCGAAGGGATTTATTTAAAAAAAATCCGTTACATGAACAAAAAAAAATAGTCAACACAAATAGCTCCGCGCCTGTGGGCGGGCAGCAATAATCTTAAACAAAATAACAAAGGTTTTGTCAAACTGCAAGTTAATAACACACCTGCATCATCCTTTTTACAGAAAACATGATCTCCACCATTTGCTTCAACATCAGACATCTGATCCTTCTTCAAAATTGTGTTTCTTTCTTCTAACAAAAAAAAAGCTTTCAATCATATTAAATTCATTTATTCATACGTTTTATGTTGACAGACATCTAAACATCATGTCATAAATTGTATACTGAATTTTACGGCTTTTTACATAACTTGAACTTACACTGAAAAGATATTTATTAAAAGTATAATCGTCGAGACATGTACACCGATGCCATTACTCACATATAGTCAGTAGTCAACAGAACAAATAATAAAAATTATATTGTTCAGGTGAAATATCATTTTTAACATTTATTTTCTTTATGGCATATTTCTCTATTCAAAAATCTATATGCTCCACAATATTAGGTAAAAGATACATCACAATGAAAAGTATATTGTTTACTTGTCTTTAAGTTTAGGCTATACGTTTTGTGTGGCTTTTTGTTATTCTTAGGCTAATCATACATGGTATAATAAAACAATAATTGACTAATGGCTCATTGAAAATGATGTCATATTCACGACTTCGCCTCGGTCAATATATCATATATCGGTGAATATCACATCATATTCAATGGCTCACTAGTCAATAATTGTATACTTTTATAGATACTAGAAATATTATATTTAATTTTAAATGAAAAAATCCTTAACTTATAACGTATTGTTATTTCATTATTGACCTGTTACAGGCTGTAAAAAAGAACAGGTTTACCAATTCTCCATCTGGTCAATGGCCTCATTTCATCGTGAAAAGTATGCAAAGATTGTATTGATTGATCTGCAGCTTGTATTTCTTTATACGTATCCTCTGTATACTTTGTTTCTGTGTATATAAATACCACTTCATAACAATAATGATGTTTCCAATATTAAGTGTATAAGAAATTTTGTAAGAAACATATAATTGTCATTTGTTACAAAACATATATGGTAAATAAATATATATTTTTTATGTGAGTGAATGAAGAATACTGCAAGTGCCTGTGAATACATTAAAATATATTTTGTTTTCAAATTTCACTAGTTGTTTACTTCTTTAATGTTATATGACAGTTTTTATTCAAACAATATTTCTGGCTTTTGTTTATTTTTACAAGTGCAAATTACCAACCCGTAGCGTCTGTTTTCTTTATCTTTTTATGGTAAACATATTCACCATTCATTTGAGCAACACCTGACCTTCTCTTTCCATTTTTGTTCTGTAAATTGTTCTGCTTCACTTTAAATCAAGAAAAGAAATAAGCTTTTTAGTAACAGTTAGTGAATGAGAAATCTTACATAATTTTTAATTTTTAATATATAATATAAACCAACAGTTTTATTGATACTTAACCATTATAATATATGCAATTATAGATAATGTGTATTGTATTTTGTTAAGTCTTACTGTGATGAATAGCATCGAAATAAAGAAAGTAAAAAAAGGAAAAAAATATAAAACAGAAGAATTTTGTGTGTTTCACGGAATGTTCATTGTAAACATACTAAGTGCGCTGTATATTATACAATGTGCGTAGTTAAGCAACATTTTATATTGTATATACTAAGGCAGTGGATTAAAATTACGTCAAAACATTGATACAAATATAAATGGCATTTTAGTTGTTCCTATAGATTTTGCATATATGTTGCAAAAAAAAAGAAACACAAGAAATGCATTGATGCAAAGCATCAAAGGGCGTCCAAACAAGAAATACAGCAAGTGACGATAGCAATCATATCTTCATATAAACTTTGGTAGACGTGCTAGAGATTAGAGTATTAAATATATTTTCTTTGGAACATACAAAACGGTAGTCAAAATGAATTACTTTAGTAACATGCAATTTTTTATGCCAATTAAAATATTTAGGTTTCTATCAAAACCTGGGACTTAAGATCCAGTAGTACAAAGTACAAATGTTGCTGCAATGCAGCAATTGAAAAGCTCCGCGCAAAACATGCGCACATTACAGATACCTTACCAAATCATTCCTACGCACGGGTCATGTTTAATTCAGATTAGTTTTGTTAATCCTTTTGTGAATAATTATATTTATCGTATGCACTATCCATGTGAGAGGAGCAAGATATTAAATTTAAAAAAAATATGCCTTCATTGATGTCTACTTGGTAAAGAAAGTATTCCCATTGATTACAAACAAGACATATAAGACTTGTAAATGTAATGTGACATCACAGTAGTGCAACATTGTTCTGTTTGTGTCACTACTTTAGTCAGTAATATTAGATGATAACAGATATAAAAGCATGTACATCTGTTTTTAACCTATAATGCTACTCATATTCTACAAATATCGACAACTAATCATGGTAAGAAGTATAAAAATTTATTTAGTTTTAGTCTAAACGAAACGGTCATTCGTGTTGCGCTATGATAATCAATAACAAACTGGAGAATTTTGCAGGAAAAGAAATGCAAACATATTCAACAATAAATTGCACTCTTTATAAATTTATCAGGCCATTTTTTACGAATTGTTATATCATAGTATTATCATTTTGAAATTGACTGGTCATCTAGCTATTTCGAATTCATGTACAACACTAAAATACATACATAACCCACTGTGTACTACAAAATAATAAGTTATTTCCTGTAGAAGATACACATGTACGAAATAAATCACCAAAGTTTATTTTTTGTTTTGTCTTTTATACTGCTTTTCCAGCGGTTGGGCATGAACTTTATTCCCATTCTCATTCATTAATATGACATGCTGCGAATCACCGAAGGGGAAACTAATATATGACTTTACATAATATAAATCGGAAGGAGTGATTGATTCCGAAATTATTTTTTGCTGTAAATCGAAGGGATTTATTTAAAAAAAATCCGTTACATGAACAAAAAAAAATAGTCAACACAAATAGCTCCGCGCCTGTGGGCGTGCAGCAATAATCTTAAACAAAATAACAAAGGTTTTGTCAAACTGCAAGTTAATAACACACCTGCATCATCCTTTTTACAGAAAACATGATCTCCACCATTTGCTTCAACATCAGACATCTGATCCTTCTTCAAAATTGTGTTTCTTTCTTCTAACAAAAAAAGCTTTCAATCATATTAAATTCATTTATTCATACGTTTTATGTTGACAGACATCTAAACATCATGTCATAAATTGTATACTGAATTTTACGGCTTTTTACATAACTTGAACTTACATTGAAAAGATATCTTTTAAAAGTATAATCGTCAAGACTTGTACACCGATGCCATTACTCACATATTGTACTGTTCGACATGCGCCTTGGTGTTCATCAAAGTCCAACTATTTCCGAAACCATTTTCAATAAAATTGGTTAATTCAATTCATCATATTTCACCACACTTTTTCCAGATAAGTATTACAAAATAATGAAAAAAAGCTTCATATTCACATTGAAGAATATTTACCCTTTTTGCAATGATTTTCAAATCCCATCATGCTGACAACATTGTTCTCATTTGCTTGTGAATTTTCTTGATCACAAGATATCTCACGGATCCTAAAATTCAAAGGAATTCTCTTATATTGTTTGTTATTTGGTGGGATAATGATAAAACCAAATAATATCTTTTCCAGAAACCGAGTAATTTCTCACTCTCAGGGACGTATAAAGTGGTGTTTTGATAAATTCATGTGTTTATGATTTCGCTAGTGAACTGTTGATATCAAAAATACTTCACTTAAATGCATTTACATTGTAATGATTGATAAAAAAGAAAATGATTGACTTGAAACAAGCCTTTCATGAATACTTAAATGAAACAATGAGTTTCGTTACATTATAACTTTCTTTAAACATGTTAATCATAAATATATTTTCATTCATTTTTTGTACGAAAGCTATTATTTAATATCTCGACGAGTTACCTTACTGGATCCATGGAATTGCTGTACGTTTTCACCATGTTATCCTCATGAAGAGTTGTCTCAACAGTAGAATATTGCAATTCCTGTGAAGAAGTTATTATTCGGTTACTTATCTTTTGTATTAACTGTTAATTCCTTCAAGATTTATTGATGATATTAATATGCATAGACAGAAAACCAATGTGTTATCAATTTATGTTTGAGAAGAAATTATGTTTGGAATTTTGTTTAGAATGACTTTGTCAGAATTTAGAATTATTCATAACAATTCCGTTACCTTCACTTCAAAATTACCAGTTTTGTGAACAAAATACAAGTATGCTTCACATACATAAAATTCAATCTGGAAGCAATCTGAATTTTTACGAAAACTAGCATCGTACTTAAATACTTTAAAATTACTAATATGTGTGTGATGTAATTTAACAATAATAACTTTTACTGCGACAATAAACGACAAATAACGTATCCTAGCCAAAACAGTTTGCTCATTATTCTATGCGTTTGTATTATCCAGGATCCCGTGCGACCAGGGTCTTGGATCCCGATATGGTCCTCTACCGTTGTTCTAAAAATAACCCAGTGATTTGATTGGCTTTGCTCGAATCACTGCCTCCCGGTTTGACTAATTATTAATTTGCCAAAAGACTTACAATATAAGATTGACCACTTAACCAACCTTGAAATTGAGTATTCATGTTAACCATGTGCTTTTTCTAGAAAAATGACATGCAATGATCTTGTTATATAGGTTTGACTGACCAAATATTTCGAAGAATGTCCTAAAAGATGATTACACCCCTATACACTGAAATGTTCTGCTGATCATATACTTCTGTTTTAAAATTCAAATATCTAAATGTGAAATTATATTCTTACAGTTAATTTACTTAACAAAAACAATGGAGTGTTAGTTTATTAAATAAATTTTTATTTTTGTAAACAATACATTTTCATCCAATCACATGATGTTCCTGCAATTTTTGTAGGTAATCGCTGCTCATGTTACAATACAGTAATCTGACCTAAAGAGAATAAGAATAATTACATCATGTTTTAATCATTTATAAAGTCCCTTACCATTACCAATATTATGGATGTAATTCCACCACTCTAGACTGGACTTTGAAACTCTTTCCACATTTGCCAGATCGCCGTATTTCGAGTTTTCTGAAAATGAATGTAAACATTAGATTTCCATACATAATTCACTATACTATTTTACTGCCAACTGTAGGAACTTCTATAAAATCACTCAGGAATTTAAAGTAAATTGTCATCACTACAAAACTGCTGCAAAATATTTCAAATGTAACAAAAGGATGCGACAGGGAGCAGTTTGTTGTATTTCCTGACCCATCACATTATAAGTGATTTTAACAAAAAGTTAAACAATTTAATACCAACAGACATTCTGAAGGAAGATAAAGTTATGGAAACATATTGCATGTTGACTAGAATATGGATTACAGACCATTTGTTCTACCAAAGTAGCATTTTTGGTATGTATTAAAACATTACCACTACCCTTTTTTCTAAACATTTGCTTGTATGGTCTGAAATGCAAGTCATAATGTCAGTTAAACACTAAAATAATTGATATATATTCCTACATATAAATTAACATCAATGATGTGTAAACGTTGTCAAATTATGTTGTACTTTACCTCCTTTGTGCTAAACAGCACATAAATAACCTTAAAACTTACATTAAAACTTTTAATACAAATTTTTGGATATTTTGCATCCATTTGGACCTAACATTTCAGCTGAACAGGCGTTAAAGGTGTTTTCAAAAAAGAAAATATATCCATCTTTTCCTAAGCCAAAGTTTACATTAATTGGAAGGTGTCTGTTTATTTTATGCATATTTAGGTTAACAAACAGAAAATAACTTTTTAAGTTTTTTTTAATAAACCAAAGAAGATAATTCACTGATCTTGTGCGTAATAATTCCGTATAAGTAATTGATCAAATAATGCTTTTTCTGTTCATTCACATATTAGAGACGCAACACTTGTGAAATAATCATGCATAATATGCGTGTGGAAAAAAGATATTGCTTGTAGTGCTTGTATTGCTTATCCAAGAGACTTCTAATGAATATTTCTACCTTCCTCAAATATAATAAACATTCCAATATGCATTTAATAGATATGGAATGATGCGAATGTAAGAATAAGTACAATCTATGTCATTATATTTAGTTTATATGTAAAATGGAAAACAACCAAACAACCAAATTTAATTACTATTGCGCATGCCAGACACTTAATAAGAAGCATCTGTCCTACATTCAGCCACATTTCCAATACATTTGACTCTAACTATGGGTACATGGTTTTGGACTAAAACAACAGAAGCCTTTATATGCCAAACATCTGAAACTTTAATGTTATATGTGCCTTTAAATGATACATATGATTTTTCAATACAGGAAACAAACACGACGGTTATTTGTGTGTTACGAACATTGAAAGTTATCGAGCAAAATAAGAGAAAAAACGTGCTGAGGAAGAAATTTTCGCAAAAAAAAATCCTCAAAAATGTTAACTGAGAAAATTTTCTAGATTGTTTTAGCATTGATTTATTAAATTTGAACCGACTGTTTGCATTTGCAGTGATTTACAGTGGTTGCCTTAAATAGCGTTTTTCGTGCGTGCGTTTTTTTGTATATTGTGCGTGCGTATATCATTTGAGATTAAGAAATTAAATAAACATTAATAATAAACAGTCAATTGTTTCATTACATTTAAAAAATGATTGCATTTTGGTCTGTATTTTTAAAACGCAATTAACTACTTTTATAAGTAATTATGTCCTTGTTTCTGATGTAATCGAGTAAACAAAGAAGATGTTAATTTAAAACTAGAAATGTGCCCATAGGACACGGGTGCCCTCACTTTCCAATGTTTTGTCAATTTTATGACTCTATGTCAGATATCTTTTGCCACAAGTTGAAAACTAAAACTCGTTTACTAAGTATAGGGCAAGAACTTTACAAATACTGATTAAATCCGAAAGCAAACCCCAAGGTACATATGTTTTCATTCTTGTTAACTGTCAGGCCTACTGGTCAACACTTTTTTAGCAATGCATGAAAAAGTTGAAAATTGCAAATTTATACTACGCCAAGGGCAGTAATTCTTTACAAATCTGAAAAACTCAACAGGCAAAATTCCAGGTTCATAGCTTCACAGTGATGTTGACCGATAGTCCTGTAAAAAAATCTGGAAACAAAGTGATCCCTCGGAAGTATTTATCACAACAAAAAGTTGTTTGATTCTAACTCAACCACTCAAGTAACAAATAGCAAAACTTTACTAAGATGAAGACAATTACTCTGACAAAACAGAAAAAAATTAGAAAACCAATGTGTTATCAATTTATGTTTGAGAAGAAATTGTGTTTGGAATTTTGTTTAGAATGACTTTGTCAGAATTTAGAATTATTCATAACAATTCCGTTACCTTCACTTCAAAATTACCAGTTTTGTGAACAAAATACAAGTATGTTTCACATACATAAAATTCAATCTGGAAGCAATCTGAATTTTAACGAAAACTAGCATCGTACTTAAATACTTTAAAATTACTAATATGTGTGTGATGTAATTTAACAATAATAACTTTTTACTGCGACAATAAACGACAAATAACGTATCCTAGCCAAAACAGTTTGCTCATTATTCTATGCGTTTGTATTATCCAGGATCCCGTGCGACCAGGGTCTTGGATCCCGATATGGTCCTCTACCGTTGTTCTGAAAATAACCCAGTGATTTGATTGGCTTTGCTCGAATCACTGCCTCCCGGTTTGACTAATTATTAATTTGCCAAAAGACTTACAATATAAGATTGACCACTTAACCAACCTTGAAATTGAGTAGTCATGTTAACCATGTGCTTTTTCTAGAAAAATGACATGCAATGATCTTGTTATATAGGTTTGACTGACCAAATATTTCGAAGAATGTCCTAAAAGATGATTACACCCCTATACACTGAAATGTTCTGCTGATCATATACTTCTGTTTTAAAATTCAAATATCTAAATGTGAAATTATATTCTTACAGTTAATTTACTTAACACAAACAATGGAGTGTTAGTTTATTAAATAAATTTTTATTTTTGTAAACAATACATTTTCATCCAATCACATGATGTTCCTGCAATTTTGTAGGTAATCGCTGGCCTTGTTTCAATACAGTAATCCGACCTCAAAAGAATATCAATAATTATATCATGTTTCAATCATTTATAAAGTACCTTACCATTACCAATATTGTGGATGTAATTCCACCACTCTAGACTGGACTTTGAAACTTCCTTTTTCCAAATTTGCCAGACGTCGTATTTCGAGTATTCTGAAAATGAATGTAAACATTAGATTTCCATACATATTTCACTATTTTACTGCCAACTGTAGGATATTCTATAAAATCACTCAAGAAATTAAAGTAAATTGTCATCACTACAAACCTGCTGCAAAATATTTCAAATGTAACAAAAGGATGCGACAGGGAGCAGTTTGTTTTATCACCTGACCCATCACATAATAAGTGATTTTAACAATAAGTTAAACAATTTAATACCAACAGGCATTCTGAAGGAAGATAAAGTTATGGAAACATATTGCATGTTGACTTAAATATGGATTACAGACAATTTGTTCTACCAAAGTAGCATTTTTGGTATGTTTTAAAAAATTACCTCTGCTCTTTTTTCTAAACATTTGCTTGTATGGTCTGAAATGCAAGTCAGTTAAACACTAAAATACGAGTAATTGATAAATATTCCTTTTAAATTAACATATCTATGCTGTGTAAATGTTGTCAAATTATGTTGTACTTTACCTCCTTTGTGCTTAACAGCACATAAATAACCTTAAAACTTACATTAAAACCCTATTTTTGGATAATTTGCATCCATTTGGAGCTAAAATTCCAGCTGAACAAGCGTTTAAGGTGTTTTCAAAAAAGAAAATATATCCATCTTTTCCTAAGCCAAAGTTTACATTAATTGGAAGGTGTCTGTTTAATTTATGCATATTTAGGTTAACAAACAGAAATTAACTTTTTAAGGTTTTTTTTGATAAACCAAAGAAGGTGATTCACTGATCTTGTGCGTAATAATTCCGTAGAAGTAATTTGATTAAATAATGCTTTTTCTGTTCACTTCCATATTAGAGACGCAACACTTGTGAAATAATCATGCATAATTGACTAGTCTAGTAAATCGAGTTTTACTTATTTGCTTTTTCTTTTAATATCATTATAAACATTTACATATAGTTACGTAATTAGTGTTTGAAATTATTTTTTGTCCAATATAGGATTGCAGTATTTCAAATGAATCGTAACACATCTACTTTGAAAATTCGGCAAATTAGTACAACTCGATTTACTAGACTAGTAAATCGAGTTTTTTTATAAAGAATAATTTAAAACACTACTGTAACCTGGTTCACATTTATATGTGCTTATTTACAAAATTAAATTTGTTGCGCGTCTGCGCGGCACCTGACCAATTTAATTTTGTTTATACTTTAAGCTATACTTAATGCAGTTTATTAATTTAGAATAGTTTTTAGGATATTATTGATAACCACGTCGAGCAGGTGATAATTGACCAATAGTTAGGATATTACATGCAATTGTTTGTTAAATGTTTGTTTGTTTGTTTGTTTCATTTTACGCCTTTTCCTAACAGTATTTCAGTCATATAGGCGGGTAAATTCCTAACCATCGATCCTGGAGAGTAACACCAGTACTAGACTTCCTTCCTCCGTGCTAAACTACCAAAGCATCTCCCGGGGATCTAACCCACGCCAGAGAGGAAACTGGATTAGATGTCATCGACTCTAACCCCTCGACCACGGAGGTTTAATAATACGACGGTAACGCTGCTAAAACTGACAATCTTTATTAAACAATATGATACAGAAAATACAAGTTATTTACATCTGATACTGTGAAACACAATACAACACAATAACGTAAAATTATGATGAGTGACATGCATAACGACCATTAATGAACAGAAAAGGAAGACAAATTTTACATCGTAAGCACACAGAAAGGAAGACTTATTTATTTACAGATACACGAACATGTAATGACGACCATATATATAAAAGCAGCCGCATGTATATCGATATTTACACGGTCATTCATGCATATATTCATATTTACACCCATAATTACACAGGGTCATAAAGACTTGCACAGCTATCCAAAATTTTATCTCTTGTTGGAATTTTAAAGCCATAATTTCAACAAATTTAACTGCATGCTCCTGGTTGACTTGTGTTGAATTCTCCTCAATTTTGATTTTTTGACGAGTTTGTTTATATTAAAATTGTTTTTTTTTGCTCTGCCTTAATTAAGATGATGTCTGTTACATGTATACATTGTATATTAATTAATTCTTCGTTTTCATATTGTAATTAAGTAATATAAATAAACTATATTCCTCTAAACAGAGTGAACAAATAATAGGTGTTATCTTCTCTCCGCTTTGAAGTAAACAATAAATAGCTTATATCTTCTATGATTGTACAACTTTTCCACACAAATATAGTATAAATATATTAATAATAATGAAAATAGGACATATTGAGGCTAAATGTTAAACTTATTTTGGTTAATTCGTACAATTGTCCGTCATTTTTTATGTAATTAGACATGTATAGCATATAATAATCCTAATCTATCCCATAAATAATTAAGAATTAACTGCTTTTGTTAATGCGGGGGTTCAGAAATATTATACGTTCACTTTTGGGTCCATTCAAACAGGGGGAGGGGAGGGGGCAAGAATTTTCTCGGGCACCCCAGTGGCGCCCTGTTTTATCAGGGAGGGGGGTACTAGTATCCTACGTTGCTAGGGAGGAGCTCTGATTGAATCCAAGTTCCCTTGACACACAAAAAGAAAGTTTAAAAATCTGACCTATATTTCAAATAATAAATCCTAATTTTCTAAAATCTATATAAACAAGAATGTCGAACGACACATATACCCCCCTTTCTAGCCATTGACTCACATAATTGGTAATTTTATTAAAGAAACTTGCCAAAAATGGGTACATGGAAGTGTTTAATTATGGAAAAATCAACGGAAACCATTTTGACATTTAAGGCCCATGTGATATTGACCTTTGACCTAATGACCCCTAAATCAATAGAGGTCATCTAATACTTATGACCAATAACTAGGTGAAATATGAAGACTTTGTGATGAATACTTTTCAAGATAATCAGCGGAAACCATTTTGACATTTAAGGCCCCTGTGACCTTGACCTTTGACCTAGTGACCCCGAAATCAATAGGGGTCATCTACTAGTGATGACCAATCACTATGTGAAATATGAAGACTTTGTGATGAATACTTTTCAAGATAATCAGCGAAAACCATTTTCACATTTTAAGGTCCCTGTGACCTTGACCTTTGACCTAGTGACCCCAAAATCAATAGGGGTCATCTACTAGTGATGACCAATCACTATGTGAAATGTGAAAACTTTGTGATACATACTTTTCAAGATAATCAGCGGAAACCATTTTGACATTTAAGGCCCCTGTGACCTTGACCTTTGACATAGTGACTCCAAAATCAATAGAGTCATCTTCTAGTTATGACCAATCACTATGTGAAATATGAAGACTTTGTGATGAATTCTTTTTAGGATAATCAGCAGAAATAATTTTCACATTTTAATGTCCCTGTGACCTTGACCTTTGACCTAGTGACCCCAAAATCAATAGGGGTCATCTACTAGTTATGACCAATCACTGTGTGAAATATGAAGACTTTGTGATACATACTTTTTAAGATAATCAGCGGAAACCATTTTGACATTTAAGGTCCCTGTGACCTTGACCTAGTGACCCCAAAATCAACAGGGGTCATCTACTAGTTATGACTAATCACTATGTGAAATATAAAGACTTTGTGATGAATACTTTTCAAGATAATCAGCGGAAACCATTTTGACATTTAAAGCCCCTGTGACCTTGACCTTTGACCTAGTGACCCCAAAATCAATAGGGGTCATCTTCTAGTTATGACCAATCAATGTGTGAAATATGAAGACTTTGTGATGAATTCTTTTTAAGATAATCAGCAGAAATAATTTTCACATTTTAAGGTCCCTGTGACCTTGACCTTTGACCTAGTGACCCCAAAAAGAATAGGGGTCATCTACTAGTTATGACCAATCACTGTGTGAAATATGAAGACTTTGTGATACATACTTTTTAAGATAATCAGCGGAAACAATTTTGACATTTAAGGTCCCTGTGACCTTGACCTAGTGACCCCAAAATCAATCGGGGTCATCTACTAGTTATGACTAATCACTATGTGAAATATGAAGACTTTGTGATGAATACTTTTCAAGATAATCAGCGGAAACCATTTTGACATTTAAAGCCCCTGTGACCTTGACCTTTGACCTACTGACCCCAAAATCAATAGGGGTCATCTTCTAGTTATGACCAATCACTGTGTGAAATATGAAGACTTTTGTGATACATACTTTTCAAGATAATCAGCGGAAACCATTTTGACATTTAAGGTCCCTGTGACCTTGACCTTTGACCTAGTGACCCCAAAATCAATAGGGGTCATCTACTAGTGATGGCCAATCACTATGTGAAATATGAAGACTTTGTGATGAATACTTTTCAAGATAATCAGCGGAAACCATTTTCACATTTAAAGATCCCTGTGACCTTGACCTTTGACCTAGTGACCCCAAAATTAATAGGGGTCATCTACTAGTGATGACCAATCACTATGTGAAATATGAAATTTTTGTGATACATACTTTTCAAGATAATCAGCGGAAACCATTTTGACATTTAAGGCCCCTGTGACCTTGACTTTTGACCTAGTGACCCCAAAATCAATAGGAGTCATCTTCTAGTTATGACCAATCACTATGTGATATATGAAGACTTTGTGATGAATTCTTTTTAAGATAATCAGCAGAAATTATTTTCACATTTTAAGGTCCCTGTGACCTTGACCTTTGACCTAATGACCCCAAAATCAATAGGGGTCATCTACTAGTTATGACCAATCACTGTGTGAAATATGAAGACTTTGTGATACATACTTTTTAAGATAATCAGCGGAAACCATTTTGACATTAAGGTCCCTGTGACCTTGACCTTTGACCTAGTGACCCCAAAATCAATAGGGTCATCTACTAATGATGACTAATCACTATGTGAAATATGAAGACTTTGTGATGAATACTTTTCAAGATAATCAGCGAAAACCATTTTGACATTTAAGGTCCCTGTGACCTTGACCTTTGACCCCAAAATCAATAGGGGTCATCTACTAGTGATAACCAATCACTGTGTGAAATATGA